CCAAGCGTGTGTTTGTGATGGGTACCGAAAAAGTTGAAATATGTGGTGGGATCCCACAAGGCAGTTGTTTAAGCCCCATACTCTTCAATTTATACGCAGCTTCTTTGCATAATCTTCAAGATGACAATACTCACATTTTTCAATATGCAGACGATTTTCTAATCGTATCCGCCGACTCATCTTTTCCAGCAGCTGTCAATAACCTCTCGATGAAATCGAACTTGTTTTTCGATGCATGCGCTGATCTTAATTTATATTTTAACCCCAGCAAGACAAACACTATTTATTTTGCCAAAGGTTCTAAACGTGAAATCAGACTTCTTTTCAAAGGTACCCAAGTTAATCAGGTAAAATCTCTTCGATTTCTTGGAAGAATTTTAAATGACAGCTTAACCCTTCGTGGGAATTATGAAAAGGCGTTCAAAGATTGTCAGTCTGGATGCAACATCATCAAACTCATGACAAACAATCAGGCAGGCTTGCCTCCCATAAATGCTTTGAGCGTTTACAAATCTCTAGTCAGGTCCAAAATTGAATTTGGACATTCCTCATGTTGCAATTTCCCAAAATATATTGAAAAACGTATACAAGCATTTGAAAACCGAATGTTGGAGCGTTGTACTGGACTGACATCCTCAACTCCTCAACATATTCTCAATGTTATATCTGGTGAATGGCCAGTTTCCGAAAGAGGCCTTTTTTGCACTGCCAAGGAGTTAATTAAAGTCAAGATGATAAATCCTTCCTTTTTTCAGGAAATTATATCTCCCAGTGATACTGTCACTTGCAGCTATACTTTTTGCTATCAAAAACTATTTTTGATAAGTTACATTCAATTCCCCCCTTGAATTTCATTACCAGCAAATGCAAAGTCTTCATGAACATTCTCGAACCGATCTCTACCTCAAAACAAAATGTCAACATCTCTTGTATAAGGTTGTTATGCCAAGAAAAGCTCCTTTTTTATCACAACAACGGATATGATATATATGCCACTGACGGTTCCGTCGGACGTAATGTATCTGGCTTCTCGGTCGTGAAACATCTATCTGAAACAATACTTCGAGTCAAAGTGGAAGAGGAACTTTGCTATTTCCGATGATATCAGACGTTTTGTTATTTTTTCCGACAGCAGGTCAGCTCTACTTCTAATAAATAAAAGAGATGCAGAAAATCAATATGTGTTTGACATTCACAAGACGTTCCACGAATCTCAAGTGGATGACTGTCACCTCGTTTGGGTACCTGGCCACTGCGGCTTTTTTTTAAATGTAAAAGCCGACTTTCATGCAGGGAGAGCTCGTGTTGATGGGACAATTTTGTCCATCAAATATACTCCCAATGAAGCAATTCGGGCAATTCGCAACCACATCCTTCAACAGCTAAACGTCGAATTTAAAGTAATCGCGCGCGTTAAATCCAATCGTCTTTTCTATAAATTAAATCCCACATTTCAATTCAAACCCTTCTCTGTATCTTCCTTTAATTCCTGGGAAATCAAAATTCTTTATAGACTCATGAGTGGTCACACTTATGACAAAGTTTATTTAAAAATGATTCGCGCTATACCATGTGATGTTTGTGAAATTTGCAATGTTGTTGAGTCTGCTGAGCATCTAATCTTCAGATGTCACAGGCTTGATGGCATTAGAGATTCCTTTAGCTTCTTCAAGTTATATGGCTGTCTCCTCGATCTCTTTGCAGCAAAAAATGTACGTCATCTCGGGGAACTAACTTGCTTTATTAGAAAAGCCAATTTATCCTTTTAGAATTTTTCTTTTTCCTCCTCTTTCCTTTTTTTTTTTTTCTTTTTTTGCGTTCAATCATTTTCAATTACGATGACATTCCTTTTCGTTTTCAGCCAAAGTTTACAACACTGTCTGACTTTCAAGAACTCAACAAGCAAACTTACACACACACACACAATTAAATTTAACATGCTCACTCCAGTTATTACGGCCGCTCTTTTTTTTTTGTTACGTTTTATACATAATCGTGACTAAAAATTACGACAGTTTATTATTTGGACATATAAGCCACAAATCTATTGGCTTAGTCCATCTCTGTTCAACATACCAAAAAAAAAAAAATTCTTTTTGGCCAAATTTTGCATAAATAATTCGCGATTTCTAGAAATTTCCCGCAAATGTGCAACCGAAAAGTCTTGAAGATATAATATCTTCTGCTGTATTTCCGGCAAAAGGTTCCTTTGAAGGATTTTCACTAACGCAACTTCCGGCATTCGCTGATTTAAGAAATCTACCAGCTGTAAAATGAATTCATAAAAAAAGTCAAAGCTCTCTCCAGGTTTCTGCTTCTTAACCCGAATTGATTCACGATAATCCATGTTAGTACGAGTGTCTTTATATTGAGTCTTCAATGCAACACTCAGTTGACTCCATTTAACTCTCGATACTGAACGATGATAACACCAAAAGCAATCCGCTGCCTTACCATCAAAAGTATGCTGGCTGGTAAGTCTCCCCTTAGTATCTGCCTCGTCAAAGCCTCTACTCTATTTAAAAATGCTTCGACCGATAAGCCCGATAATCCGCCTGAAAATCGTATTTTCCAATTGTAAATTATTTGGCCTATTTTGTCCGATGCATGATTTACGGTATTCGTTGATTGATTGCTATATCCCTGGTTTGAATTTAATTCCTTAGTATTTAAAGTATTTATTCCTAACAATTGATCTACAGTTTGTACATTTTCTTGTACAGGCGGTAATTAATATTGTAACTTGTTTCAAAATTAAGAGTAGATATTAAATGTCGTTCCTAAGCTAGACTGAATCAACGTAGTCATTTGCTGCTTAAGCTCGCTAAACAACTGTTTGCTGTGCAGTCGCAGCAGCTGTAACTAAGCTATTAATTTTACTTTCTTCATTATCCGTTATCCCAACACATATTGTTTGTTCTGACTGTAATGCTTCGGTTTCTAAATTTGCGTTTTGATTACGCTCTTGTTGTCTAGTAATCATTTGTGTATGAATGTTTGGATTAAATTCTATGAAATTCTTATGTAAGAAATGCTCACAACCGGTTTTAATATGACAAGTATTTGTATTTACATCTTTATTGCATAAACTGCAATAAGGAGAAGATGTATCAATTACACCGGATTGTTCGATATAATTGACATTTTTTTTTTTTAAATTAAAATTTCACAATCAAGGATATAAATCAAAAAGGGAAAACACAACTGATTATTAACAAAAATCGTCAATTAAATATTTCGCAAAATATTGACACTGGTTCGAGTTTTAACAGAAACAAAAGGGCGAGCTCAAAACAATACATGGCAGACATCTACATTTTTTTTGTGGCATGAACCTAAAATCAATCCAAGATTTCAACAGAAAACACCTTATTTCAGAGTACTGACTCAATGAGTGCAGAATAAATAAGTTAATCTGAATTTCTCAACTTGATTAATATTCTGAACAAGACAACAAAAAAAAACAAGATAAGTCAATTCAGATGGTTTCTATAGCAACCCTTTGTAAGAGTAAATTCCATTCCTGAATTTGCTTATCAAAATTTCCATTAATGTAAAATAAAGTATTACCTTTTTATTCATATTTCAATAATGGTTACAAGTAATTTAACACAATGAAATAGAGCAAATTTTTAGCCAGAATACTTCGGAACTCACTATGTAGATCAGATGGTAAGAGACATTACGGGTGAAATTAATTTGTGGCCCCACGTTGGGCGCCAAAAATAATAAATATGTAACGTATTTGATATTAATACTTTGCAAAGTTGTAAATTTTATATATATATCATGATCCTATCGCATGTTTTCCGGCCTGACTCGTCGGATGGGACGCGTAAAAAAAAATTGTAAATAGTTTCATGACATTTTTTTTTCGCTCTACAAATGATTCATTTTTAAAAAAAAACATGCTTACAATTTAATTTAAAAATTCTTCGGAAAAATTCATTAGTATGCCCTATCAATACTGTTTATCCATCACCCCTTAGTCACCTCTAGGAAGTCTCACCGGTTATTTAGTATTTTTAATAATAAAACGTTCTTTATTTTAATTTTCCAAAAATAACAAAACGAATTATTTAAGTTAGAAATAATTATATTAATTTAAAATTTAAAAAAAAAGTAAAATCATTTTCAATTTATAGAATTAAAATATTATTTTTTGGTTAATTAACAACCCTTAACAAAGGGTACTCAGATTTTGAAATAAAAAAAAGTTATTCACAATTAAAAGAAACTTTAGTGTAATCTAATTTAACCAACCAAAGGAAAACTTACCAAATCAAAGACCCACGTTGATATGCATCACTGCAGCCATATGATATTTACAGATTATAAATTTTAATTTTTTTTCTTTGATTAATAATAAAAAATATAAAAAAACACAATTATCATTTATTAATTTCAATGAGACAAGATGAAAAGCTGATCCAAGCAAAGCGAAGCATATTCGCACAATGACAGCAGAACTCATGACGTATCCTTAAAATTATGTACGACTTTTTCTTTAATTTTTTTTTTTTTTTTAAAGAACCCATTTTGTTGTATTTGGTCTTTTATATGAAAATCCATTTGAATAATTAAGTTTTCCTGTCTCGAAATTTGCTGATAGGCAGAATCCCAGGCTGATCTAATTTTGATGATTTTATGTTTTTTTTTGTTTTATATATCAATTGATTTTTTTCCAGATTTACAATTCATAAAATTAAAATTACATCAAATTTGGAATTTTCCGGCTATTTTGTGAATTTACTCATATACATCGCTGTTCGTTCAGCAACTCAATCACTTCTACTGCCAAGTTTTCTTTTTTCTATTCCCCCGGGAAAACTCAAATTTTCTTTTTTTTTCTGACAAAAAACCTCCTTTTATATATATTTTTTTTTATACTACCCCTATTACAATAGCCATTTGTAGTCGTTGACTACACTACATTCCTATTACCCTCTGTTAGTGTCGAATACACACACTACGTAGACGTAGACTTCTTTGAAAAACAAAAAATAAATAAATAAAAATTTTAAAAAAATGTAAAAACAAATAAACATAAAAATTTAATATCAACCAATAACGTAAATTAATTGTCAACTTTATTAAGGCCCAGATAATTTTGTGTTCATACGAGCATTATTTTTTTATAACACGGCGAATCTCTTGCTGTTAACTCGCTGAATATTTAGAAAGAAGAAGAAGAAGTTGAAATATTCAGAGGAAAAATATATATAAAACAATACTTTAATACCAAGTATCCATGATATTCAAATCTTTTGAAAAATGTAATGTTCTTTTATCGCGATTGAAAGAGGATTTCATTCTAATTTTTTCATTTTATTTATTTAGATGGAAGATTATGTGCGCACTGTAGTTGTGTAACTCGATCACGACGTTTCAGTGCTACACTCGCCAGTCCCGCTAACGTCTCCACAAATCTGGAATGGCAAAATGGGCCGGAAAATATTTCTTATGTAGAACAGCGCATCATTAAGCAGGCTGACTATTTTGAAGTGCACAATTTGTTTAGTGTACGCGATTTATTTAATGCTCGGGTTCATTATGGCCATAAAGAAGGTTCGTTAGACGATCGTATGCGGCCATTTATTTACGGCAGTCGTTTGGGTCATTTGATTTTTGATCTCGATAAGACCGCCTCCCATTTACGAGATGCCTTAAACGTAACGGCACATATTGCTTTTCGTGATGGCATTATATGTTTCTTCAATCGAAATGTTTTGAACGCCCATATAGTAGAAAAAAAAGCGATGGAAGCCGGCGAATTTTCTTACACCAAATTTTGGCGCGGAGGTATCTTCACCAATTCCAACGTACAGTTCGGTGCTGTAACAAGACTGCCGGACCTCTGTATCTTTCTAAATACTCAGAATAATATTTTAGCTCAACATACGGCAGTGCGTGACTCCGCAAAAATGGCTATTCCTACGATCGGCATTGTAGATAGTAACTGCAATCCTAACCTTATCACTTACCCCGTGCCAGGCAACGATGACACTCCGTGTGCGATAGAGTTGTATTGTAACTTATTCAAAGCAGCCATATTACGAGGAAAACAAAAAAGGCGTGAATTTTTGGAACCGTTAAATGAAAAAATTAAATAATGACTTTGCAACTATTACTGTTACATTATATGTAATTTTCTCTTTCGCTATATTTAGTAATAAAGTGCACCGCCGTAGATAATATATGATTAATTTTGATGTGCCGCAGGAGGTATAGTCCCTTCCAATACACCTCCAGGCACGAAACTTTGGAACTTGCCATGACCTCCGGTTATAATTCTGCCCGAGCCGTAAGTGGTCGGAGTGACATTTTCGCCAAAGTTACCATAATTATCGTAGCGCTCTGGTGTTGGCTTAGTTGAATCCCAATACTTAAGTGTTTTTTGCTTTAAAACATACACTTCACCTAACTGATCCGGTTGACTTTCAGTTGAGCGTATGTAAGGGCTATATTTCTGCGACAGTCGCAATTTATGTGCAGCCATTGTTTCTTGCGCTTTAGCAAGAACTGCTTTTTCTTTTTCATCTAACTCTGAAGGATGTTTTTTACTCAATCGTTGAACTCGACGTTTGGCATTGTGAAATTCTCGATTCTTAAAAGGCTTCATAGCTTCGCGGTATTCTTTCCATTGTTTCTTTCTCTCTTCAGGAGACAGATCCGAATTTTGCTCAGGCATACGAGGCATGGGAATAAATGGTTTGTTTGTATTTGGTCTCGGATTCTTAACATATATTTTCGGCTCCGACATAAGCGACGGCGGTGGAAGTGGCGGTGGCGCCAATGTTGAATCGCTATTTGATACGCCTTCGTTGATAGTTGGGATTTTATTTGCTTCTTTCTGTTTTAATGAATTCGTTACTTGAGAATTTTTTTGATCCCCTTTATCTCTAGGTTTTCTACCCTTACCCTTTGTGTAGGCATTACCATTTAATTCGTTTGCATGCTTATCTCCGACACAACCGTTGCGGAATGGATTGTAATGTGATAAAGGTTTCTGCATGTTGTCTCTCTGACGATACATGCCGTCTTTAGCAAAGAAATTATTGGGATATGGACTATTTAGATTTGGATTGTAATTTTTGAAATTAGGACCAGGACAAAATCCATTCCCGAAATTCATACCAAAACAATTATTGTACGAAGGAGGCTGGTAAAAATTTGGGCCAGGAAAATTAGGAGCACAAAAATTTGGCGGCATGCAATTGGGCCCATTATTAAAGCCTCGATTCCACCCGCCCCCATTGTTGTAACCATTTCGAAAGTCGTTATAATTTCCTCCATTATAACCACCCCGTTTGTTTTCTGTTGTATGATAACTGCCTCTTTCTTTTGCATTTTTGGATGAAGTTGTTCGGTTTTCCCGTTCGGGCTTAGAAAGAGCCTCTTTGAAAGTTTTCCAGTCCTTGAACGACATTGTGGATTTTTGTTCTGCTTCTGCTCCATTAGTACTCTCTGCTATATCCTTTTGCAGTTTTTCTGATTTTATTTCTGAAGCCATGTAAACCAATCAATATAATCGCGAAATATTTCACAAGTGCAATAAAAAAACAAATTTTTCTATAACCATAACAAGATTTACGGTAGACTTTCAATTGTAGAATGGTGCTGAACGGCCATTTTTAAAAGTAGGCAATTTGCAGTGTAAATGCGAAAAGTGCGAATGAAACAGTATGTGTATGTATTTATTTACAAAATTTTGCTTATTGTGTATGACTCTGACGGGAATGAGCAAAGAACAATTCGTTTTCTTTTATGATTAAGGACCGAATAACTATCCTTTTCTATGTAAGAAGAAACACTTCTATCAGCTGTTTGAGGGAATACGAGAAGATTATGCTCTTTAGGAATGAACATTTCCTAGCCATATACAACAACTGTTGTAACGACGCATCGCCCCGTTTGTAAGGGATATTGTATTCTCGACGCTTATAATTACTATTATATCGTATTCCAATAAAATAAAATTCTTAGAAAAACAAATAACTACTGTTCAGCTATATCTAGGACAACCATCTCTGCGAGAAATGTTAAATTACAAATTTGATAATTTCATTATACACCGTGGAATCGAATTAATATTGTGTTGACTTATTTGCTACCTGTATTTGTTTTGTTTATACGTTAAATAAACGGCTTCTGTTGGGGTATTACATTAGTATAATGTCTATGAACCCAAGCATATCAACATTGTACCATAAGGTGGTACTCACACGCCCAGCTATTTATTTACCTATCTATTACTATTACAGAAAATTGATATCTTGAATTCATATCATTATTTTTCGTCGCTTTTTAATCATTATACCCCAAAGCATTGTAAAACTTAATTATTGGCAACACTAGCATCAGCTTCGATTAGGTTACTTTGTAAGTTACATTCGCAATAATTTGGGTAAGTTTAAAAAACGGAAAAATAATAGATTAACATTGTTAAACAAACTAATCGAGGGTAGACGGTATTATATATACGTGTATATATAAATTTGTTGCTATATATTACGAATATTACGCGTGCTTGAGCGCAAGAATTTTTCATGGGTAAAGCTATTTGGCACAGCCGTTTGTGGGTTTCTATTCTCGAGGTATGATTTAATTTTTTTTTTCCTTTTTTGCTTTAGCTTACAGAGTTAGCTTTCTCCACTAGGAAAAATAATGCTACATTAAAGTCATCTTGACCTATTTTGCGCTGAAAAAAGAATATAGAAAAATAACTTTTTTGTTGTCATTTTTTCAGAAACGATAGCGAAACCCATGTCTCCGTCTCGTTTTCGGAAGAACTTGTTTTGTGTTCGATAAAGGTGTTAGATTTCTGGAAACAAATGTAAGGAATATATATATAATTTAGTAGCCAGATACTTATTATGAAGTTCATTAAAAGATACTTAAAGCAAAACTTTGTGTGACTCCCTTTCGCGAGGAAGTGACCTGGGTATTCATACAAGTAAAGTTTTAAGGGAACATCGATGTGTTAATTATTTACAAGTCGTTTATATGATTACATGTATCTTAGTTATAAAGCGTCCGCAATAATCTGTCTTATCTTATAGCAGCGATAGTAAAGTTTACGCTCACATTTATGAAAGAAGGTTGAAGCAAAGTTATTTGTTTTTCACTTATATTGGAACTTAATATTGCGTCTTTAATGACCTGCTTTGCTCTATGGCATTTAAATTAAGATGGAAATTGTTCTACATCTTCTTTGAATATGGTGCTCGCAAGACTTCTTCCGAAAGCAACAGTATTTACCGTAGATGATTAGGTAACAAAAATTTGATAATTGATGTTGACAGTGTACACGTCAACCATTATATTAAGAAAGCTCGTCCTGAATAACCAATTTATTCTTTTAACAAGACTGACTGACACCCACTGAAATAAACTTTTGTGGTGAAAGCAAGTAATACTGAACAATCTTTTCGGTTTTTGGGAGAAGTGAAAATGTCAACTTAATTGAATCGATACATTTGTACATTTGATAGACTTGCCTGTGGAGAAGTAAATCCTCTTGATTTGTTACACACTTAACATGTTTAAGAAAGTGGTTAAGCAGGCGCTACATATATGTTTTATATCTCGATTTTATTCCTGATAAAAATTTGTACGCATTTACATCTGATGGTTCCTTCGCCGAATGCGGATTTTCTATTGAAAGCGAGTGTATATAGATGTTATTTTGTCTTTATTTGGGTAGACCTCATATCACTGCATTCTAAAAGCATCTTGAGAACGTCCTTGCACGTTTTAAAAGCATTTGTTGTACCCTCTGACAATAGTTACGTTTCGTTTTTGATCTGAAGTTTGCCCTGATTTTGGATTATAGTTGGAAGAAATGGTATTGCTTTACAAAAACAATCCTAATATTATAAAATCTTAAAAAAGGCCATATGGTGTGAGCATATTCCACAACTGTTAGATCTGGATCAAAGCCTTTAAATCATTTATGACTTTAGGCGCTAAATTGGTAATTATTTGCTTTGTGCCAAGATCCACCAACTCAGGTAGGCGTAAAATTCCGCTATTACGGACGTTGAAGTGAACAGACGGTTTTTGCAGTTAATTCCAAGAATATGTATCAGCATTTAAGTTCCGATGTAATCAATCGCGCCAATATACGAATATTTTCAAGTCGACTTAAATATTCGCGAAACCCCTGAATACGTGTTTCCACTCTTTCAAATCATAATGGTAGAAAAAACACTTTATTTTAAAGGTAGATATCAACTAAATTTGCACAAAATATTTCACAACATTAAATAATTTTGTGTGAAACTGCAATTTTTCTTTAAAAGCAATACGGATTTTGGCGGAGGCTTTTAATAAACTCAACAATTGGCCGTAGATTTTGCAGAAGCTATTTTCAAAAAAGTCATAATGGCTCATATTGGACGTTCGGTTAAAAATGTGGAGGCGCCACGTCCTCTAAAAACCCAATCGCGCACTTCGTTGAATAATAACTTTATGTTGATTGAAGAATTAATGCAACTGATTGAAAATGTAGCCATGTCTCTTCAATCGGGAATTAACAACACTGAACCCATGGCTACGTTGGCTCAAAATTTACGTGTTCATGGTCCACAACTGGAGACTATGTCTAAAGACACCTTAGACCGTGCGTTTGTAGTTTTTCGCAATGCTTCGCAGGACGAACGTTTAAATATTATGACTCGTTTAAATTTATTAGAATTGATAGAATTGCGCGCCAAAGGTTGGGAAGACAATGGTATCAATTCGTATTATAAAACTAAACAGGCAACGAACGCAAATGAGGTATGTAAAAAATCATGTTAATATATTGCAGCACTTGAAATAAAGGCTTTATTAAAATGTAGCTGATCGATGGTGGCCAGCATCATATGGATGTAATGCAAGCAACGTTTTTGAGCACTTCCCCCACATTTAGCGGTGCTGGAAGTACTAATGCGACGGCGGTCGCTCTTGCCGCTGTAGGTTCTGCCACTCAGCAACAACTGCTTTTAGGGCCGGGAGAAGTTATACGTAATTCCGGAAAATTCCCAAAGCCAACGCGTATTCCTGGCAAAACCTATTGTAAAGACGAAGTTGTTATACGTAATGCTGATTCGGGCAAAGGTATGATTTGATATTAATTCCAATTTATGTACGTACATCCGTCCATCAATCACATTTGCGTATTCTTTATCGAAAACAAATAACAAATGTGGTTGCCTCCCGTTTTAAAACTGGGTTGGTTGATATATATTTTTCAATAATGAAACGTTCTGTTATATATATATATATATATCTATTATATATCTTTCTTTGAATGCCCTCCTTACCATTTGTATTAAGTTATGGGCATTAAAGGTCGTCGCGTCCATATGATAGAGGAACTCAGTGAAACTGTAATTTCTTTTCAAAGAGGTAAACACACTCCACCTAACATTAAATTGCATTATTAAAAGGAATAAGCATTATCACATTCAACACATACATTTATACAAACAAGCAATCATCCGTTAAGTAATCGCATTCGTTTCATATTTTAATAATTACATCAAATTAATTGTGCATGTTATCTGTCGTAATTTTAAGAAAGTCGGAAGAATCGGCCAAATTAAAATTAACCGCATTTAAGAAAATCATTTTAAAAAGAAAATGCAATAACAATTTGTATGGTGCTAATCTTCATATCGGGTGCCAAGGAGAAGCGTTTTTTGTTTTTTAATTAATTCCATCTTTTCCTCATAATTGTATTTAACTACTCTATTATATATTTCAATTAAGTTGCGCACTAATATCCTTTCAATTCGTTTAAGTGAACCCGGGTGCAAAAGAACGCTTGGTACAAATAACAGGTCCTGCTGAAGATAAGATAAAGTACGTACATGTATTCAGAAAGTGGTTTTTGAGCTAAGCAGTGTCTCGTTCGTATCTCTTCAGTTATGCTAAGCAATTAATTGAGGATACAATACGTAGGAATGCCTCACCAGTACGTTTAGATCCGGTGATAGATAACAGCACCGTTGGTGGCGGAGGCGGTTCATGTTCTTCTTTGGCTTCTTCCAATTCGGACGAAATAGTGCAGCCGCGTACACCTGTTGCTAATTCCTTATCCAATCGTTTGAGCTTCAATTCGGCTCAAAACTTCATGACTGCATCAGCGGCAGCACAACAGATGGCTCAGCAGCATCTCATGTCGAACGCCTCAGGCCCGATAAACAATGCAGTTGCAGTTGCTGCTGGTAAATTGATGCGCCCCAATATGCAAATGTTGTTGCATTCATATTCCACAAATGATGCTTCTTTAGGTGAATACAAATTTACATGTAATGTTGGTCAGCATGTAATCAAAATCACTGGAGATTGCTGTGATCTTGTGAGGGTACGTAGGCGATCAATAATGTAAAAGTACAGCCTTCTCACATATTTACACATTTGTACAAATTTCAAAATTTAAAGATTGCAAAACTGGTCCTGGACGATTATTTTAGCAGTGCTGAATTTTTAGCCTCTTTAGAAGCGGGTGCTGCTTTTGATGGTTCTTTGGTAAGCCCAATAACAACACCGTCCGCCACAATGACGGCCGCACCTCAATTTGCCGTAAGCACTCCTTTGCAAAATATGGCATCACCTTTAAATGCCGACAGCGGCATTGGTCTTAATTTGATGACCCCTACAATAGCTAATAACAATAGCAATAGCAATGCAGAAGGCGACGATGATGTATTTATAGAGGGAAATAATTTGAGTAAGTAAAATATAAGGTGGGCAATCTATCAGTACTTTTTTTTTAGTCGGCAGTATTTGTTTCAAAGCGAGCCTGTGGATCGTCAAGTTGAAAGACTTTCTATTTTCCATAATCCTATCATTACCGCACTAGGACAGTAGAAGTTCTTATTACAACCTCTTACGTACAAGATCCCGAACGACTCCACTGTTTATATCAAAAATTTGAATTCCCTTAACGCCTACTTACTTATTACACTTTTCATATAATCAATATTCCCATGATTTCTTACTCCCCGCTACAATTCACATAAATTTGATCAAAAACTTTGAACAAAAACGTTTTTCTAATCTGCCAAAATAAACTATTAAGCAAGTGCATTACAGAATCCTATGTAAAAGCATCACGGTACTAAAAATTATAACCTTCTCCTCAAAAAAATTGCTTATGAAAAAATCTCCTCAGCGCTGACTTAGCTTCCGAGGATGTCACTAGAATGTCAATCAGAAAAATCCTTTATAAGATTGAGAGACACAGCGTTCATGCCCTCGATGAAGGAAGTTTATCCGGTCGTACAACGAATTATGAGTATCTAAATGATATATATGATATATGTGTGCGCATGTTCTAGCGCAATCTATACCAATTCCAATCGTGTTTTTATCGAAACGGTTTCAGCAATTCAAATTTAATGAAAAAATGAGCGTTTCCGTTATGCACTCCTTTAAAAATAAGCTAAAGGTTGGGATACAAAAGAACAAAAAAAAATTAGACAGCATAGGTGGGATTTTGCGCATCGGTATCTATCTGAGTTGATGCAAGAATATTTATAGTGTGTTTGACTTTTTAAGTTAATTTCGATTAAAAAGGTTAGGAGAAATTTTGATTTGCGTATACAGATCTGTAAGTATGCCCTGGTAGTTATTTAAATAGCATTTTACTAAATCAAACTTTTATTTCCGATATTTAAATTGGCTCAAAAGAAAGCATCAACAGATCACCCGCCGTAGATTAGCATGAGGATAGCATAACACTGGATATGTACAGTCGCTGCCTACATAATGTATAGTTTCAAAATGGGAAAAGTGAAATCTGTCTCTAATACTTTCAGCAAAATCTTCTTCTCAAAGCAACGGATTGTCACGCTCACGACGCAGTCATTTTTCACGTAAAGACTCAAGCACAGAAATAGCTGGCAGTCAGACCAATCGCCAAAAAACCGATACCGCAAGTGCCGAAAACACTAATAATACTGAACGTAGTATGGCTCAAAAAGTTGAATATGTTATATAAAATGATGAACTTCTATTTTCTTTCTCTTTTAAAGCACGCATTATCCATCATTACGAGCATTTATTGTATTATGCCAAGAGTCCACATTCGTGGGCTTTACCTGCTGATTGGCAATACATTTGTAAAACATTTCCGGCTATCGTGCGTAACAAGGTAATGACATCACAAGTTTTAACCATCACTACTACCAACACGTCCTCAACCACACATACCAATATCACTACAAATGCTTCTCCGTTAGCGCAGAGTGTTGATGCTTGTTATAACGTTGCATCATCCTCACCTTCACAATCAAGAACAAGCACTTTCGCTCCCGCTATAACTACATTATCTAGCGTAGCTAAGTGTTCTCCACTTGTAACAACTAAAACTGTTGCTGATAGTTATATTATTACTAATGACATTAATACACTTCCTGCTTTTAGCACCAGTGCTACTAATAATCATGTAAATAATCAACATAATCATAATTGTGTCCAAGTTACTAATTACACTAACAAAATTAATAACGATCCGATGATAAATAATAAGGAGCACCATCACAATGTAAGAAGAGGTATTAATGAATATAATCAAACGAAAGTGCTGCCGCCCATAAATTTACAATTTGGTCCTTCCACATTGCGTCGCAAAGGCTTCTTCAATCGTCATACAATTAGCATCGACGAAGAGGGCTATGCGCCAGCTGCAACGTGCGATGTAACTGAAACAGATGATTTGCTAACCATGATGGTAAATAGTAATGAACCATGTGGTGTTTTTAGTCCTGTTAGGAATCGATGATTTACTACGGTCACTGCTCTTGGCGATGGCTTGCTACAAGAAGAGCAAAATGTCCGTCAACAATTATTGCATAAACAAATTAAAATTATATCGGACATAATGATAGAGAGTAGCAAGCCTACTATAAATAAATCAAGCGATGCGACTAATCAAAAGCTTATTCAAAAAGAAAATATTGAAGAGGACGACGATATTATTGAAATCATAACGTTATGTCCCGGTAGTCATTCAAAAGAGAATATTATTTCAAAAAATTGTCTTATCAAATGTGATCAAGGACTGTGTCCAAATTCTGGCAATGATTAAATAAAAAAAATACGATCCGCTTTGAAAATCCTCTTCTAAAGACACAAATCATTTCGAAGCAACACTTCCATATTTTTTTTTGTTTTTGATATTATAAAAAAAAATTTGAATCTCTCGAGGATTTAAAATCGAAGTAATTCTAATGTTTAGAATCGTTTACCAAAAGAAAAAACAAAAGATCTGTGTTTTGGCTGTGAAACAGATTATTTATGTATGTAAATATATATACATGTATATATATGCATATATATAAAAAAAAAAGAAGTAATTGAATAATCATTTTGTTCCTCTCAATTGGTTAGTCTTAAGTGTTTTTACATTTCTTATTTGTCAGTATTTTTGAATTCTGTTAGTTGAACTAATCTCTTGACATTGTAATCAAATATATATATTTGTTTTTTACCACCGACTGAAAATAAAATGAATTCTTTGTTATTAACTCTTGAAATGTCCCCAAAGTAATTTTTCAATTATCTCATGTGGTGTTTGGTAATGTTTTTCATTCCATTAAGTGCATCATTAACTCATTTTTTTAACATTTCGTACATTACTTTAAGTTAACAAACTCATATGTTTCCATAAACATTGAATTACTAAAAACTAGCCGCGCTTGTATGAGTATGCTCCAGGTAAGATTATGATCTTAAGTCGCTTTGTACTGCTTTCATTTTGACTTAAGTTAATTTGTTTAAAAAAAATAATCTTTCGATTTTTTGATGTAGGACTTGCAAGATGAAAGTAACCGTTTTGATGGCGAAAAATATTTGGAATTGGTTAAATCGTCCAGTAAACGTAACATATCGGCACTTATAGATGAATCAACCAATGATGCTGAAAATCTAGAAAACGAATAGCAATCGTGACACCACTCAAACGAATGTTTGCTCTTTCCTTTCTTCAAAGATTTCATAAAGATAAATATGATTTAAACCATTATTTGCTTAAACCAAGTATTTATATACAGTGTATTCATAAAAAAAAAAGAAAACTAACGAACGAACCCAGTTATAGAAGATAAGGAGTTAATTTTTTTCTTCCGGGACTTCTATCTTTTAGATAACGAAAAAAATATGAAAGTAGTACATTTTATATATGTAAAACTGTATAAAAATTATTTGTATGCATTTTTATAAAAAAGAAGTAAAAAAAACTACAACTTAAGTCTCAGATACCAAAAATTTAATTAGCTGTTAGTTTATTGATTTGAAAAAGTATTTATTTTTAACACATTATTGGTTTCTATTTTACTCAATCTCTAGTCTATTATATGTTTCTTTTCATTTTATTCAACTCGAAGTGGAAAATATATTTACGACTAAATTTAAAATATAGTTACATGTATACTCATTCATGTACAGCCTATATAATGAATTAATCTAACGCATCCATACTTACTGGAAGTCGTTGAATAAAAAATTACTTCTAGAAATAAAAAGCAATTCAGTTTTTATTTTCAAAATTCTTTATGCAGGCCTTAGAATAGAAATTGCGCTGACATGTGCTTTATGAAAGTATTTTACTATTTAAGTATTTTATAACAGTCAGTACTTTGAATTCAACGTCGGTCGTAAAAATAATTTTAGACAGTTTTCCTTCAGAGTAGAACCTTGTTCTCTGCCTATTAAAAAAATATGGAATGAAATTATGCCTTTGTTTACACGCAGTGTTGGCTAACACCATTTCTTAATTTTCGGGGAACATATGTGTTTTTCAATGAAAGTATTGCTCTTTCGTTGGTATGAATTTTTTGGTGAAAATGATAAAGCAATGCGAAGCTAAACAACAAAGAACGCAAGCATTCAATTCGTGCTGTCGCAATTCTATGGTTTCTTCGAGTTTCTGATAAGAAGGCGAACTTTATTCTCCAATGAACTAAAATATTAAAATCAACTTTGTAACCGAAATTCAAACCGTTCAATACAAACATCGTTTTTGAATACTTAAGTGCTACCTCTACTCAATGGAGCCGCATATTTTGGGCTTGAATATCTGGTTACGTACGTTGTAACCGAAATGACTTAATAATGTCCGTTCCCTTCCTTTCTCCTTTTTTCTATGCCTTCTAGTCGCAATTAATAATGCACAATATATGTTTCTTATGTACATAATATATTTTTTTTATTTTTTATTGTATTTTTTGTTTCTAACGTTTTTTCTTCACCTCTTTCGCTATATCAACTGTAAACAGAATTGTAAGGCCGACATTAGTGCGGTCCAGGCATGCTATTTGCAGAATGTGCCCATCAAAAGGCAAATTACAGGAAGCTATTTTCACAAAATCTAAACATGGCAGTTAAGTCTCTCTATAGATTGAAATCACTTCTCAGTTCCTCATCATCGCTTTATCGTCAGATTTGCTTATAGATGTGCGAAAGCAAGCCGTTGGGGTGATCGTTTGCCAATAATTGGAGAACCTTTTTCTACAAAAGAGATGTCTCCGTATTCTACGGAAAGCAAAGAAAATACTCTCACTAATTCGTTAGACGATCGTTCAACGTCAATTTAGTTTTTTACATTCTATTAAGAGAAAAGTTTCAATTGGCCCAGGTTTTCAGTTTGGTAATTGACTTCATCCGAAAAATAATATAATAAAATAATTCAACATTTCAATACATGCTTATTCTTATTATTACAACGTAAGAATAAAATTGCATCTATTAAACTCCCGACTAACATAAAACGTTTTTGATGAGCTCGTACTTGTTCATCAAAAGATTTTTTAAAATTCATATTTACAGTGCAGGGAACGCATTGATATATAGCGGCCAAATGCTTTAAGGCACCATACGTGTTACCCGTTTTCTGCAACCACACAAAAGGTGATTCGTCTAGACTGACATAGACTTCGGTTCGACAGCGTTTTATGTCAGCTTCGACATTGCTTTGCTCATTTGCCAGCTGCTCCGGAGGTGTTTCAGTCAAATCAAAAAATAACTCTAAATCTGAAAGCAATATGTTTAGACAATTAAACAGTTCATGGAGCATCGATTTCTTTCGCATTACTTGATTTCTTCACATTTGTGTTTAAAGGCGTCTTTGGTCGAACTTCTCCAACTTGTATCGAACTATCAAAACCTTGGCTTTCACTAATTCTATTAAATTTCTCAGTTAGGATTTGCAAGCATTTGTTAAAATTGTTAACAGTTATTAAACGATGAAATCTTGGATCCAATAAAGCCGAAAACGTTAAATGGTCATCAGATAAAATACTGAAAAACTGAAAATTTGAAAACCATATTTAGAAACTTAGAACTTTTGCTTACAAATATTGAGGCTTGCTTTTGATAACAGATTTAATAGAAGCCATAAATTGATCATCATTTTCTGTTACAGTCAACTTATTATTCAATACTTTACATGTAATGGGTGATAACATACTGTTTAACGGTACCTCTTCTCCTTTTAATGTATCCAATGTTACTTAAAAGTATATATAACTGAATAGCAACGTTTTCTACTCTTCCAGCATAACATACAGCAAGGGTGCTCAAAGTGTCCACTATAGCCTTTGAAGAAGCTACTAGACCTTCTGCTTCTTCCAGCTATGAAACGGTTTCCGTAAAAGATTTCAATAATTCATAATAAGTGCAGGGGAAATTTTCGTTTGCTTGCGGTATATTAACATCCTAAAATGAAAACTTATAAATTGGTTATCTTAAATAATATTTCTATGGTCCTAATTTCGTCTCAGTGATTGTTAATGATAGACTAAACGTAATCAAAATTGTGGATATTGTGGCGGAATTTTCATATAATCCGTGCTCCTATGGTCGTAAATCGTGAAATACAAGATCAAATACCACAAAGTTTCATGTTTTAAGGTTTTAAATGTAAACATTTTACAGTATTACCGTCTGCACTTTGCAAAAAGTTAACGAATGTTGGTTTCGTACTTTTTGTTTTTTTTTTTTGGATATAGGTTCTTCTCATATTTTATTTGTGGACATTAACTCTTAGCGATCTTAGTGTATCGATGTTTCGCATATCATCTATTACTAAATTCACGATATGAAATTGAAACTGATAGGAATCTAACGTTTCACTACGATGGTATGAAACGGCAATAGTAACTTCATTGTCATTGTTTTCAAATTTTTTAATGGTGTGAAACTGAAAGGATGCAGCATTCTTTGCCCCTTTGGTTTAAGTAAGTAGATTGACTACTGAAGTATTCATCGTAAACTAAATTGCACGGAATGAAACCATAAAAGTTAATTCTTTCATCCTTCAGGCAATTTCAGTTTATCATCATCTACTGTTTCATCATATCTTGATTAGCAGAAATTAAATAATCCCATTCTTTGGTTAATTCTTCATCCGTGTCATTCCAAATCATACTTTAACGGTACTTTCATTTACCGCCATTATAATCCCGCCGAGTTTTGGAGAAAGTAGTCAATGAAGTCCAAGTAAATCTGATCGATGCATAAACAGATCCCCTCTAACTTTCAATTGATAATAACGCTAGATATTTATTGCGAACTAATTAACTTATATATGTAACTTATATGTAATTAAATGTAATGTTAATTCAAGTAAAATTGAGGGAAATTTATGTTTATATCATATTATGTTGCAAGAACAATATAAGAAGTATAAGTAAGTAAACTAAGAAAGAAAACTGCTAGAAAGGTTTTACGAGAAATTTGTGTGAGCGTATGAGCATATTTACTTTTCGTTATTGTTTTTTTTAAAAATTGTTCCAAATGTTTCCCTTTTTTATTTTTGCTTCTCTTGACGATTAGCCCACTAAAAGCGCATAAAAAGCGAAAAAAACTTTTATTTTTTGCTGATTTATTTTACAACATAGTGGGTATCTATAAGTTAATATCCATGTATATATTTATTTGATTAGAGTATAGAAGGGATTACAACATGACTAAAACCCTGCAGGTCGCTATATGCTTTGAACATGTTTGCTAATTTTATTTTTTGGACAATTTTTAGCTTGTTTTGCTTTTATACATTTTCTTACCATTTCTTTATATATCTTAAATTTATTTAACACAATAGTAATTTTTAAGGTAATATAAAATTTTATTTGGTACTTACCCTTTTTTTTTATAATAATACACCTCGTTTTTTTTGGGAATTTTTCATTTTGTCAAATTTGTTTGTGCACTTATAAAATGGCTTTGATTTTTTTTTTAAAAGCCTTTAGCCGGTTTTTCTTACATATCGTTTATAAAAAAAGACTGTTAAGCATAGAGGGATCACAGAATTGCTTTCAATAAATGGCAACGCTTTAAATGAACAGGAACAAAATAATACGAAATTAATCACCTGTTTGTAGTTTTAACAGTTTTGAATAGTTTTCTGTTAAACATAAAACTTAGCGTGAGATCTCCGTTAAATGTACCAAGTTTAAAAGGTGTTATAGACATTTTAACGTAGAATGTTTGTTAAACACAAAAATTACGTGAAATCCCCGTTAAATTTATCAAATTAACTTATGATAAATATAAAAAGCGAATTTAGATCTATGATAAATATTAAAATCTAATTAAAATCTACTTAAAGCCCCCCTTAAAACATTTGACAAAATAGCTGTAAATAGCGGAGGGATAAAAGACGACATTAACTTTTACAATATTTGTTTAAAACAGTCCAATTCAAATTAAATGCTTATAAAGTATAAACGAAATATTATCATTATAATTTTAGACTAATGAAATAAATTCTTAGACTAAAAAAAGAGAATTGAGCACCATCAACACAGGCTATCGGCTCTAATTTAAATAAATGTACATTAGATGTTGAGCTTAGTAGTATTAATGAAGTAATATATTGAATTGATTTTCTGTTCTGAAGCTGATTTTAGAATGTCCAAAGGGTTAGTCGTTCCAAATGCAATACTTCTAGCCACGGAAAAGTTAAGGCAGTCGCAACTGCAGATTGGAGAGGAAGACTTCTTCAAGATACATTGGTGAGTTGCAATTGTATGACCAAGGTGCATTCTCGAAAATGTTTGGATCTTGGTTTTCTCAACATTTGTTGGATATAAAGGTAGAGTTAATTGAGGGTTAATGGAAGAGTAGTGTTGATGATAGTATTGTAAATTTCCTTGTTCAATTTTCTCTTTAACTTTTCTTCCAATGTATCTTTGAAGATCCAACTTTTCCCTAACATCCACAATAAGAGGAGCAGAACCAGCATTCTTTGTCGCTCGATCAGCCTGCTCATTTCCCAATAGACCGATATGACTAGGTACCCATAACATTTTAATATTTCCGCCGGGTGTTGTAATAATATTCCTTAGTTTGTTGATGGTGCTCCATCTCGAAGTCGAAGGATTTCGTATAGCTTCTATTTATATATATAAGCTGTCAGTAACAATGACGATTTTGAGTTTGCTTTTAAGGGCAAGGTTCGCAGCGTGAAGGATAGCTCTGGCTTCGGTTGCGAAAGTTGAAGTACTTTCGTGAAATATGCGATTGAGAAGAACCTGTCCTGTAGCGTCTACCACCGCACAAGCAGGAGGCAGACCAGAAGACTTTGAGCCGTCTGTGTAAAAAAGATTCCAACCAGTACTCTCCAATACTTGGGTTTTTTCAGCTATTAGATTCCTGAAGACGTAGTTTGGAGTATCTTCTTTCTTGTGCATAGACAGTGAAATGTCAAAAGAGCAGTGTTTCAAAATCCATGGACGTTTAACATCAAAATAACAGAAAATTTTTAAAGGAATTCTCAATTCCTTTGCGACCTACAAACAATAGTCGATTGCAGATGATGACTTTTGAATTTTCTTGGCAATAATAATCTTCTCACGTCATCACCGAGTATAGATTTGTTTGAATTAAGAAGCTTGGGGACTATTTTAGCTTTTAACTCATAAAGTCTATTTTCTAAATTTGGGAGACCAGTTTCAATTATAATATTATTTATGGCGTCGTCCGAAAAGCATAACAACTTGCTCTGACGGTTTGGTGATAAACCGACTTAAGGATCTTGATATTAGATTTGCAGCTATTGTCATAAATTATCAAAGCATAGTCAATCTTGCTTAAAACAAGCATTTTGGTAAGATAAGCAATAGTGTTAATGTGCGCATGGCTTTTCCAAGCAACATACTGTATAAAATTCACTCCTGTTAAAATAGAATTTTTTAACCGAAGACAGTGTGCTTTCCAACGATATTTGTTGGAAAACGTGAGCCCGAGAATTTGCAACGTCTGCGCGTTTAGCACTGGTAAGTCATTAATACGCATAAGTAGATTTCCTGCATCGAATATCTGCTTTCGACAAATGTGCATTTTTTTTTTATTTTTGTATGGAAATTTTAGCCCCTGACGGGTTTGCCCATGTGGAGATCTCTCGTCCAATAGATTCGAAGATGTTGATTGCCTTCGTGCTATCTTTTTCTTTTGTAAAAATGTATACATCGTCCGCGTAGAGACAATGTTCTACTCTTGGTACACGGCAAAGAATTTTGCTAATTTCGTTGAAGGCGATTTGGAAAAGCGTGACAGCGATGCGACATGAATGATTTGATGTAGTTGAAAAATTTGGGTCCAACATTCCATGATTTCAAAAGCTTTAAAATACCATGAAGACCAACTCTGTCAAATGCTTTTTCGAAATCAATTGAGAGAATTGTTACGTGATTTCGTTCGGAAATTGCTTCGCTTGTAAAATAATCAATATGTAACAGAGCGTCGATGCACCCTCTATACCGCTTGAAACCGACTTGTTGCTTTGCTATCAGGTTCTTGGACTCAAGAAACCAAGATAATCTAGATGCCATAATCGTCTCTAATACCTTTGAGAGCCAAGATAAAAGAGAGATTGGGCGATAGTCCGATACGATGGAGACATTTTTAGACTTTGGGATTGGAACAACTGTAGTCAGTTTCCACATGTAGGGTATATGGCCAGTCAAAAATACCGTATTATATAGGTGCAGTAATTTCCTTTTACTTGAATTAGACAGCGCACTGATCATTTGGTAGGAGAAGCGATCTAGACCAGGTGTCCACCCCTTCGATTTGGAGAGACAACTTTCAAGTTCTAAGGTAGATATGTAATTTTCCAGGAAGGTGGTACATCTGTCAATACTATTTGAAAGGAAAATTGGAGTCCTTTTAATTTCGATGAAAGCATTGGAAAAGCTGCTGTCAGAGGAGTATTCGCACCACACTTTTGCGAAATAATTAGAAATCTTATCTGCGTCAGTTCAAATTCCATTGGGAGTGCAGATGGCAGAAATTTCGTTCAGATTTGAAGTCCCATTGAGCCTGTTTATTTTGTTCCAGGCATCTTCCCTTAATGTATTTCTGTGAATTCTTTTCGAAAAAACTTCAAAACTAAGTGACTTTGATTTTTGTAATTCCTTCTTGAATAAAGCATTGACCTTTTTGTATATTAACAAATGATTATGATCAGGACGTCTCCTAAAGCGGTGCCATAGATTCATTTTATTTTTCCTCAAAAACGAAAGCGTGTTGTTTCACCAAGGAAGGCTAGCTCGTGCAAAAGAGCTTTTGGATTGAGGAAAAAAAAAATGAGCAACCGTGCGAACCGCTTTAGACATAATAACAGCATCATGGTTGCAGTTCCCGTTAAATGGCTTTGAATTCAGAAGTGACACGGCCTGTTTGGAGTAATTGATCCAATCCGCTTTATCTAAGAAGAATCTGTCCTGTTTTCCTGGAGTAACAGAGGACATTGAAAGTTTAAGATC